TTCCCATGCTCGCAGGGTTATCCGATCTAGCTTACTTTCCACCATATATTGCAGTAGATCACCCCATGAGTCAGTAGGTGAACCTAACCTCTTCAATACTCTAGTGTGTTTGTTAACGTGATCGACCAACTGTAGAATAGCGTTGGCGCTCTTTCTCGACCAATGGTATTTCAAACAAACATTGTACGTGTTTCCGCTTTATGGCACCTGAGTCTTCGAATCGTTTTTGTAGTTGTTTCCAGGCAACTGAATAATTGTCGTCGGACAGCTCGATGTCTTCGATCGCCCGTGCGGCCGCTCCCGTAACACAGGAACGTAAATAAATGAACTTTTGTATGTTCGGTAACACTCGATTACTGTGAATCGTTTCCTTAAATGCGTCTGCGAATTTCGTCCACTCTTCACTTTTACCATTAAATGAGGGTAACTTGATGGTCGGTAACTTGACTCGATTTCCACTAGTAACGCCATCTTCGGAATTATCGGTAAGGCGCTGTAGTAGCTCGGTTTGTGTCTGCAACAAGGTTCCCAATGGGCCGTTGTCTTCCGGTCGTACTACGGAAGATGCCTGCGCCTGCGCGGTTCCGCTCACCTCGTATTTCTCCATCATCGTCATCTGTTTCTGTAAAAACTGCACAAGTACGCTATCGCTTTCTGTCGTCCTTGTTTCATTGTTCTCGGTCCTTGACGATTTTATGATTCGTCGTAATATTGCTTTCGCGGCTAAGCTTATCTCCTCGAATTCAGCTTCCGCCGTGACGTCGCATACCAATGGCTCGTCAGTCTCACTGATAATCTGTCGTTGCACTGTATGAAATTCATTGATTACCTGTTCGAGTCGTTCCAAGCGAACTCTGCTTCCTCCTCGTCAATTGTCGTTGTTGCTTGTTCCTGAAGGCGTGCTACCGATTGCTCAATCCTGGTCAGCTTGCCTTTAATGTAACTTCTCTGTTTTCTTAACTTGTCAATGTCGACCATGTTGAACGATTGTTTCGCGTTCTTCTAGTAATATCCTTATTAGGCTGAATTTCGTTTTCCAATTCTAGTTCACTCACTGAGATGCTCTGTGATATCTCGGTGATCGGGCTCGAAGGACCAAAATGTTTGATTTAGTTTGTTGCTCTTAACTATTACATGGATCTCGCTTACAAAAAAGGGGGAATTGCGTTGTTGATTGATTCGAATACAGAACTGAACTTAAACTAAAGATACAGCAGAGATGTCGACTGGTCGACTCTAGCGCTCGCACGCCATCTTCGTAAACTAAAGTCAAACTCGCGGCTTGATATAATGCCGCGAAGTTCACCTACCATTCATACACGGGGTATTCCAGGATTGGCCGCGTCTTCTCGGGGTCGATTGTCAGGCCGCCTCGCTGTACGACGAATTCCAGATACCGCACTTGAGAACGGCAGAATTCATATTTGTCGGGATTTATCGTAAGACCCGCGTCGGAAATTTTTCCAAATACTCGCTCGAGCCACTCAAGATGTTCCTCGAAAGTCGAGGTGACGCCCACGATGTCGTCTAGATACGCGAAAGCGTGAGGCTCCATTTCCGGACCGATTAAACGATCTAACAAACGCTAAAACGTCGCGGGCGCTCCTGTCAGTCCGTATGGCATCCGTACAAAATGATATAATCCCTTACCCGGGACGCTAAACGCGGTAATTTCTCGACTTTCTTTCGCCAGAGGTATTTGAAAGTACGCCTGGCTTAAGTCGATCGTCGAGATGTATCGCGCTGCTCGTAATTTATCCAATATACCGGTCTTATTCGATAACGGATACGCTTCCTTTTTCGAAACGCTGTTAACTTTACGGAAGTCTAAACAGAAGCGATATTTCCCATTTCGTTTCCTGACCATTACTATGAGGTTCGACCACTCGCTATAAGACGGTTCGATAATTCCGGCGGCTAACATTTTATCGACCTCTTCACGATTAGCCTCCTGTACCTTCGGAAAAACTAAATAGCATCGTTGTTTAATCGGCGCGTGTAATTTACATCGATGCAATGCTTGGCGAGCCGGGTGACACCGGGATCACTTACTCCACGCGGTATCCTATTCGCTAAAAATTCATCTAACCGCCCCTTCTGCTCGGCAGTCAGTTCGGAAAGTCCGCAGCAGGCATATTCTACGCGATCACTAATCCTCTCGAAAGCACGATGCTCCCACGGGCGGCTCGCGAAGTACCACCCTGACGCGGCAAAATCCAGACCCACGCCGAAAGCGCGCAAAAAATCCCCCAAAATGCAAGAAACGGCGAGATCTGGCAGCAGACACGCTAATTTCGCGTTGCATCCCCTCCACACAACGTCAAGGGTATTTTTATCTCCTCGGGTATTTCCGCTATCTGTCCGTTCGCGGTTCTTATGCAGACGCCCGTAGCGCGGTTAGTGGGCCATCCCAAACGTCTTACTATGGCGATGCCTTCCTGCCCGAAAATCATACGACCCGATCCAGAATCCATCAACGCCATCAAAGGGTGTCCCGCAACGAAAACACGAAAGTATTGCAAAGGCGTCGAATCGGGCACGTGAAGCGCGTCCGAGGTGTACTGTAATACATCAATCTGAAAAACGCGGGTCGCTATCGAATCGACGGAAGTCGCGGAGACCCGCCCTAGCGACTCGTCTCCGCGTTTCCCGAACACGTGGGGTAATTCCGGAGAGTTACATCTGGTTTGCCGCAGCGGAAGCAGTATAGGCGACACGCCTCCTGACACTCCTGCGCGATATGGCCTATCTTCCCGCAATTCCAGCACTTCATGGTACTCGCGGCCGGTGACGTCGCCGCGGCACTTCCCCGTCCGCGCGAGGAAGGCTTTTTGCCGCGACCCCTGCCATAGGCAGGGCGACAGCAGCGATAGCCGATCCACGCGAACCCTTTTTCGGGGTGGTAAGTTAACTCGGGAAGCAGGGCCCTCTCTGGCGCTGTCGGACGCCGAGTCGCGGAGTCCTGGATCACTAAATTGGTGGCCAGTCGCTCCAAGGTCTCGAAATCGTGAAATTGTCCGCGCTATATAATCATTTTTAATTGCGGCAACATATTCCGGTGCGTGTAATTTAACTCCTCTTCCGGGCTCCACGGAGGCTCAAGTCGATTGCAAAGAGCTTGCATGCACGTTATGTAATCGGCGACCGGTTCGTAATCCCCCTGCATACGCTGCCATATTTCGTCGCGCAGAGCGAATTGAAATTCCGGGTTCGCGAAGCGTGCCCGCTACGCGACCTCGAATTTGTCCCATCTTCGATACGATCTGCCCCGCGTTCGAAACCAATATAGCGCCGCTCCCGTTAAAAAGAAAGGCAAACACCTCAATAGATCTTCGTCCGATACGGGGAACGATGCGTGACTCCCTTACGCGCATCAAGAATACCTCCGCGTCGTCTCCGCGCGCGCCCGAGAATGTTACGTTCTACTTACGGAGTGCCTGTGATATGTCGCGCACTGCGCCTCGCGAGTACGCGGTCGTATTCCCATCACGCATTCAAAGCGGGGGCGAAGGGACGCGATTCCCTTGCCCTTCCCCCCGGCCCGCGCGGGGCCCTTCAGCCTCTACGGTACACGGAGCCGCGCTATCCGGACGCATCGGTGTAGGAGGACGCAAATGTCCCGCCGCGACATCTTCCGCGCTCGACCCACTCGTATCGTGATCCACCGGGGCCTCTAACTCGTACCAAAGCAATCGATCGTATAGCGCGGGGGTATTCCCTTCAACGTCTAGTCCCCGCTGTTCGAGGGCCTCCTTCAAGTCCTCTGCCGACAGCGGGAATATCCACGAAAATCGCGTCGGTCCCTCTGACATCGCGACGTTCACGCGAAACTACGCTAATAAAGTAACGAGATTCTCAGCTAAAAATAAAGAAATTCACCGCAGTCTGTAGCAATCGCGATTCGTCTTGACAGCCGCTCCTACATCGACCGCGAAACGAAAGATACACGTGTCTGTTGCAAATTTTCCCCTCTACGCTACTTCCGAGATCTTTCCCTTTGAAACGATCTGTATTTCACCGAGTTGGTGATCCGCTCAACGCTAGTTTTCGAAATTCTTAATGTCGCGGAACAACAACACATGAGACGACCAAACTTTCGTTATCGAGATACAAAGAGAACCCAACGACCGAAAAATATTTTCGCAAACACGAATGTACACGCGCGAGCAACAACCGACACAGCTAGCGGCGCAAAATACGCACGCAGCGTGTAACGACAACAACTGAGGCAACACACACAACCTTCCTCAAGTACACGAAGATTTTCCTAACTGACTATTATTCACAATTTCAGGGTCACTCGCGATAATTCTAACTCTCTAATGTCGCGACGCGCACAATAAACACTGCTGAAAATAAGAAATTAATTCACTCACATGTAACGATAAATATTACACGCAAAATATAATTATCCTGCTCTCTCTCGCTCTCAGAAACCACAAAAAGTTTTCTAGCTCTTTTAATCGGGACCCCTCACGTTGGGCGTCAAATTTGTAACCGTACTCGCGAGCAACGGCACAATTTCGTCGCGTGTTCTTCGTTCTCCTCTTACGCAAAAGTATCTCCTTTCTCTCGGTAACTAAATTTTGCAGCTGTCTGGTGGTTTTTCGGCCAGATTGTAATTCTTAGGGGCTCCGCACAATAAAAGGAACAGGGAACAGAGACAGAATCAGAATTTCAACCTATCAGAAATCATGTATTGTGGAATACACATTGCGTATTTCTATGTGTATTAGAATACACAAGTTGTGTGCGAAATATTAATTAAGCTTTATGATTTATGAATTTTATAACAGTTAATCATGTAAAACCTATAACCTTGACATTTTCATATTAGGAGTTTTGTCTTAAAATACTCCAAAGAATCCGCTCTAAAAAAAAAATTCGGAAGTTTTGAGACACTCTTATAAATCGAAATCTATATGATTAAAAATGTTCATTCTCTGGAATTAACATTATTAACATTATTTGGATTTTTTTCTCGTTTAATAAAAATAAAGACTGAAGCAGTTATGGAGAATTCAGTATCTCCAGCTACGGATCCTGTTCCTGCTCTTGAACCTGCTGCTGAATTACAAGTTCAGCCACCAGCTCCATCAACACTTAAACCGGAACCTGTTCTCGATCCAACAGATTTAAGTGATACAACAGAAAGCGAGGCTGAAAAACATGGCTGTAAGTAATTTTTATCGGATATCTTTAACTGTTATTTAATCACAAAAAATATCTTCCTAATAAATGTTTTCATGTAAATAGTTCAATAAATAAATATCAAGCATATTTCTTTTAAACATATCTTATAAAAATTAACATTAAATTTATTTTTCCGGCAAACTAACTTAAGCCGTTAACACACCATAATGTACAAAAACAGAAATAAAATATATTATGTAACACTTTATTAAGAAATCGGGGATGTGCAATTTCTATCTAAAAAAAATATATAAATGTTACTCATTCTGTAGAATTATGATAGCACATAAGGCGATCATGATAATTGTAAACAATTAGCATCCAGCCACAACGCTTGATGTGTTTAGCTTAAAGCATATATTTCAAATAAAATTAAGTAAATGTTTCGGTCTAACATGTGACCATCTTCAGTACATTAAATTTTCATATTATAATTAAAATCGAAACATCCAGTTGATCAAGACATAATAACTATACACGTTAAAGAATTCATAAAGTTACAGTAATATAACGCCATAAATTCTCAATAGTATGTATTGCCGCAGAGAGAGAAATATTGCATGTAGAACGATTTTTATCATGAAGTTATATATAAAATTTGTATCCGTCGACTACGTGATTGCCTGATGCACGTATTCGTTGATATATGTTCCTCTAAGAAGTCCACAATTCTTTTTCAGTACAGCGTTATGTAAAATGATTTACAATTTTTAAATATTGGAAATTTGATGTTATTTAATAGATTCTGTCGACCAAATCGTTATGAACCCATCATGATAATGTTTCAGTAAAAATGAACATACGAAGTACCATGGTCTGCACTTCCCTGCATGAAGGTCGGCAAATTAACAAAGCGACATTGCCTATCTACATCGACCAGCTGTTCACTCTGCTCTTCACAAATTCGAAATTCTTCTTGGATTTTCATACTTCTCGCAAAACTACTGGTAATAAGATATAATTCCGTTATCACATATCTCACATCTTATCACGTTAAAGAATCCATTTTAGATATTTTAAAATGTAATTAAGAAGCTTCCCCAATAGCACAAAACTTGCAGCAATATGCTACAATATTGCTGCAATGTGTAATACCGCTACAACATTGCAGCAATATTGTTGCAACTTTTGTGCTGTTAGGGTTATTTAAAAATATTTTAAAGTTTCCATTTGTCTATATATGTATATATCAGGGTGGTCCTTATTTTTCGATTTTTTTAATTCTTTACGCCTCACACCCTAGAATAGTTTTAATCGATAAAAAATAATTTCTGTAAAATTTTAACTCGGATATCGATAACCCTCTGTGTCGGCTCGTTAAACATTTGAGTTCCATTATATTACACTATCAGCAATGGTTTTTATAGCGTATTTTCCACAAAAATCGGCCTATAGGAGTTTTCTTTTTTTAAATATATGTGTCTTGTTTTTCTGTATTGTTTAACCCTTGAATCTCACTATTTTCGCCATCTGATTTCACCACACATGGGTTACGGTAACTCTGGAAGTTTTTTTGCTTTTATCTCGGGATCTAATGCATAAATTTTAACTTCTTTTTTTTAATCGATATAACAGACAGTAAGGAAAAATATATAGATAAGAATATCATAAAACTTCCGAAAACCAAGATATTTTGAAAAAAAAGGAAAGAAATTTCAAAAAAAAAAAATCGTTATTTTTTAAATAAATTAGTTATTTCCCAAAAAATGATACAAGATTTTAATTTACAGAAATCGAAACATATTAAGTTGTATTTTAAGAAAAAAAAAACATTATAACGAATTATCCTAAAAAATATATTTATTCGACGAGGTTGAATTTGGGTGATTTTCAAGTAATACGATAAAGTTAGTGCAAAAGTCTTTA